CAAGTGGTGGTTTGATGCAAAAACAAGTCACCCAGTAGACGACGACTACAAACGCACAATCGAGCTGCGTCAGAAGGGCGATGCACTGTCGGGGTTGTCGCGGCGAGGAAGAGAGTTGTCGGGGTGTAGTAGACTCTCCCTCTCTCGCTGTTGCTGTTCACCGGCGTCGGTTCGCGGCGTCCTATTCCGTCGACGTTGGTAGTTCTCTACTAGTACATACTGATGCGGGGGTTGGAACGGTCGATGCGGTGTCGCCATGGCAACCAGACGCGTCGTCCCTCGCCATGGGGTGCATTCAACCAGGGGGAAAGGCGTGCAAGCCATTGCCGGATGAATCGCAAGGGACGCAGAGAGCTCACTCCATCTCGTTCTCGCTTATTCATTCGTTCTCCATGTTCTTCTTGCCAACTTTCACAACCTTCCTCGTTACCTCCCCTGCAAGCTCTTCTCTCCCACTACTTACTCCGAAAATCGAATCGACGTTGGAAAGAACACACGTCGCGTCGAGGTTATGGTCCACGTATCAAGGTTTCCTCCTGATTTTCAAGGTTCCAAGGTCGACATTTTTATATAAAAAATATCGTCAATTGAAAGAGATTAACTGTATTAGATTTTTCCACTCTCTCATCAACTGAACTAGAGTTGGAACAATTTATTAAACTTTTCATAATAAGACTGTAAACTCAGCTGCTTTATAAAACTCATTTCTATGAAAATATATCGTAATTTATCATTTGATAGTTAAAAATTTTTTTTCTTCCATGCTTTTGTTTTTAGAATCGAATTGTTAATATAACTAAAAATTTTAAAAAACACGATATGAAAAAGTGATTGAATATTTTTTCTTTTGCGTAAAAATATGTTTGTCATGACGAAAATGTTAAGCACTTTTGTCGGAGAGAGAAAAAACGCGCCCTTATAGGCGCCAGAGCATAAAATCCCATATCTTAGAAGGTCAACCTTGAACATGGTAAAAAAAAAAAAGTAGACGTAGCTAATCGAATAGAAACTCGTAAATAAGGGACAAGAAAACTGATTATATTAAATTGGGCCGGTTGAATGGATTACGTCGGAATAAGCATTATTATTTATATCATATATTCCAAGCTTTATAAGCAATCTTAAGGTAATTTGTTCAATATTATGATATTGTTTAGTTTCAAATGGTATCAATACTATAAAGACATCAGCAAAGAGAAAAAACTTTTTCCTAACTTCCTAACTATTGTAAAACAAACCATATTATTTCTTAATAATCCATAACTGTAAGAGAATAATAATTATTGTAACAATGATTCTAAAAAAATCTTGTAAATCATTTAATTTAAAATAAATTTTAACAATAATTAATTGATCAATAAACACCAATGACATAAAATATAACTCATGTTTTTATACAAAAGTAGTTTTTTAAAGAAAATATAAAAAATTCATTATTTTATTTATAATATCTTGTAACAATACTTTTCTTATAATAAAAATATTTTTCAACAATTTGTCTCTGTGAAAAATCGAATGATGATGTTACTAGAAAATGGAACATGATTTCTAAATCTTTTTCAATTCACGATTCAATAATACTAACATTAATGACATTTGTTAATACCAATCAATCAATAAAACATTGTTTGGCCAATTTCTAAATTATCAGATTTAATCTAATAATAAACTTATCAAATACAATTGTATGACTAAAAATTAAATGATAATAAAAGTAAAAAATTGAATATTCCAACACTAATTTAGTATTATTAAAATTTGTGGAAATAATTAATTCTGGCTATTCGTGATGGTAGCACAATAACAACTTTTTACACTTTATTTAAAATGTTTCAATTATTAATGGTCTATTGACGGCCCATAGTCCTTTTAATTGAAAATACATTTTTTATGTCTACCTAAATATAATCGAGAATTCATTTATGCATAACACTGATTTATTTTTAATTCAATTTTCAGTTGGAAAGAAACAATGAAAATTCGTCCTATTATATTTTATATGATGATAAATTTTTTAATAAATATGCTGGGAATTCAACATTAATATTCAAATTATATCTCTTAACTCAATGAATCCAATGAAATTATCCGTGAGCTTCCAGCCGAGTGATCAGACCCGACAAATGTAATATTCCTAATGTTCTAAAATACACAGGCCATCTACACATGAATATAACCATACTTTGTTAAAGCTGGCTATAAGTAGGTAGAAGCATATCTCCTTTGATGTATTTCAATTCCAACGACAATGTATATAAAGTATATCCAAAAGAATATTGACTTTTATTTGATTTCTAATATCATAGAAAATGTCTTTGCGAATTTACAAATGTGGAATAAAACTAAAATTGTCGAAGAGAGGCGAGAGACCATTCAGCAATCCCCACGCATATATCGATCCATCTATAGAGGGTAGACTTTCTAGGGGTTAGAAGGAACGAACACGAAGAAAAAATAAAAGACGAGCTTTTTTTAACATAGTCTATGGTAATGATAGTATACTCGGCAACCAGATACTTTTTAATACTGCTGTTATAGCAGTCGTTTATTACAGACTTTACTAACAAAAAGAATAACAGCTGAAGTGAAAAAAAAGTTGAGACAAGATCAGAGCTTGTGATTTGCTTGATTACAGCCATAAAATACACCAAAGTTTGTGAACCTTCACAAGTGTCTCGAATCATTTGACAAAGGACAAAAAGAATATCTGGCAAAAATAACAATACAAATTTCGAAAATCATATACGCATCATTTTTTGAAAAGTATCAAAATTGGTACAAGTAGATATGAGGGTTAAAAAAATAATAAAAAAAAATGAAAAGAAGAGCAGAGCGTATAATACATAAAATACATCAATTTCTCGACAACTGCGGAAATACTATTTTGAAATAACGAGTTTTCCTGTTGCCTCGAGCTGTTTCACCACGCACAGATATATGCACCGACATTTGTCTCTGACAAACATATTAATCTATTTTTATGTGACAATATTATATTTTTTAATTCTAAAAAATATAAATGGATTGAAGTGTACATTCATGAAATAATATACTAATTAGTTTTATAAGACGCCCATGAAATAAAAAATAATTTTGCGATTAAAATAAAAGTTTAGTCAATTCCAGGAATGTTGCAATGAATAAATAGTAACAGTGGAATTAATAGAATGTTTGCATTCTGGCCTCGACGTTTTATACTCCCTGGAAAAAGTAATCTCAAGGTCTCTAGCTATTTCTTTCTCTGTTCACTCTTCTTCTCTTACATATACATACAAAATAAAATCTCGAAATTTCCTGGAACCAGTTAAAGTACCTGTCCACAGAGTTTAATCCCATTTCACGTCCACAGAGTCGCTAGATGAAGTATTATTTTACCATAAGAGACAACCAAAATAGTTGACATGTAACCTGGGCGATAGTAAGAGAAGAAGGTACTAGAGGAGTCTATGCAAAGCTTATACCACGCCAAATGCGGTTACATCTGCGTTGGGCTTTGCGATCCGGCAAGTCAGTATACTTAAAGTACCTTGCCAAGCGATGCGGCAAGATGGAGTCGTTAAATTCAGCACATAAACTTGAGTGGAAAAAAAAAACTAGCGAATGAACCATTGGAAAAAAAGTCTATTTGTTCTAAATGTTTCTTGCCATACTACTATTCTACTATTTGAATGGAAATAATCTGCAACATTTTAAATTAAAATAACAGGTTTATTGGCACTTGATTAAGCAGAGTTTGTAGTTGAAAACGACTTTTAATTCAATATCATTATGTACTTAACAATAATAATTATTTAAAAATATCAAGAAGAAGTGGTCGTAATAGTTAAAGTGGTAGGGAAAGGTAGTAATGATAATAGTAGATGTAGTTTGCAGTCTACAATAACTGGAGCAGAATGAGTTTGGATGCTTAAGACATACTGTAGTTGAGTAGTTGTAGAATCAGGTAGCAGAAGGAGCTCAAGTAGTTTCTTCTTTTCAACGTAAATAAGAGGAAGGAAGACTAGAGAAAGAGATAAAGATGCCAAGAAATGAGAGAATGTCTAGATAAGAGGGGAAGAGTAAGAAGAAGAATAAGAGTAGACTTTTGAAGGAAAGGATGTCACACCAGTCTATGTTTCATTCTGAAATTTTATTCAAAAAGACACTCAAGTTTATGAGTTGAAGTGTGCAGCAAGTAGCAGGAAACTTTTCGAAGGGTATTCACACAGTTCAGGGTGGTTTGTCATTGTTAGAAATTTCAAAAACAATTGTTTTCATGCAAATGTTACCTTTATCTGCTACATACATTTACTATAAGTCACTTCTACTTATACTTTAAAGCATCTGAAGATTGTTCTGCGAATTGTGGAACATTAACCTCTTGTATCTCTGTGTTGCATCGAAATTCCTGCACGAAGGTCGAAAGCCCTGCACGCGCATAAACATATACGAGCTCACGAAGCGAAACAAGTCTTACCACAAGTCTTTCTTCCTAGAGATGACCACGGCGGTTGGTCTTTGTGTCAGCTTCGGCTTCCTTCTTTCTCAGAAAAAAGCCAGCGACGATCGTCCTCATGGCCCATCGCTGCCACCGTAAATTTACCGGGTGTTCTGGGACTGTTAAGTGCTCAGGATAGCTCAAGAGAAGAGAGAGTTAATTCAATGGCGATGAGTGGGAGGAGGAAAGGCCGATAACCTTCAGGCTTGTGACCTTGGTCTTTAACCACTCCTCTTTGGTCTCTCTCGTTCGCAGGATGTTGGCGCTCTCGGGTGAAACATGGCTTGGCTTGAGCGATTTAATTAAAGGGTCGAGGATCTTCAGTGGGTGGAGGGGAATATTCAATACAAAGTCATTTCACGCGTGGGAATAGTCTTTGGGAGTGTTTGAATTTTCTCCAGTCAATTTAATCTGTCTAAACATGACAAAAACATCTCTATTCTATACAAATATTTATTTCTCTTTTTCATAACTAATAATTATTTAATAAGCTAATGTGTGTTATTGATTTTTTTTGTTACAGGGATGCCGGTTGACTGAAGATGGCCTCCCCGACACCCTCGTTGGAATCTCGTGCAAATTCCCTCGGCTCCCTGGTTTCGTTATCCCCGCTGACTGTGAGCGGGAGCTCACCACCTGCAAGCGATTCTGCGATCTGTGACGTCGACAGTTGCGATATCTGCCTGGACTCAGGCAAACCGGGCGACGGATCCTGTCACTGTCGTTTCGGCCGTGGAGTAAGGTGCACTGGCTGCAAATCTACCGAGTCAGACGCTGTAGCGCGTTGCTTTGACTGCAATAATTTTCTTTGTCCTAATTGCGTCATGGCACATCAATTTATGCATTGCTTTGAGGGTCATCGGGTTCTCAATCTTGGTGAACAGAAAATTGAATCAAATGCTGAAAATAGAACAAATCTTGTTATAACTGGTGGTAATGGTACCAATGGTGAAAAAGCTCTCTTCTGTCCAAGACACAAAACTGAATTATTCAAGTATTTTTGTCGTGCCTGCACTGTACCAGTATGCAAAGAGTGTACCATTTCTGATCATCCAGGTCCTCTGCATGACTGTACTCACATTTCTGAGGCTGGACCACAACAGCTAGAAGCAGTTGCAAGAACAGTAGCTGATTGCCGAGCAAAAGCAGCTGACGTTCGTGCTGCAGTTAAGGCAGCTGACCACGGTGCTGCCAGACTTCAAGTTCAGTACCACAAAGCTCAAAATGAAATTAATGATACGTTCCAGTTTTATCGGTCAATGTTAGAAGAACGTAAACAAGAATTGTTAAAAGAATTAGAGTCTGTTTTTTCAGCTAAACAAATTTCTCTCGGTGTTGTTACACAAAAAGCTAGTGAAATGGCGGATAAAATTCAACAAACTTGTGATTTTGTTGACAAATTAACCAAGTATACAACAGTTACTGAAGTTCTCATGGTAAAGAAATTTCTAGATTCAAAACTTCAACTGTTGCTTAGTTATACGCCTGACTTTTCCAATCAGTCTGCCGATTTAGAATTTGTAAGCAACTATCAAGCTATTCAAGTGGGTGTAAGAAATACCTTCGGTTACGTTCGCAGTAGTACAGACAGTAATAATGTTGGACCCAGTAAACAACCACCAATTGCAAGACCAACTGCATTATCTAATGGAAATACAAGTAGTAATGCTAGCAGTGGACCTGGCAGTGCTGGATCACTTGGAGGTTTACTTCTGGATCGACCCTACAGTAATGGCCTCGTATCAACTAACTCGACTTGTGCATCATCAACTTCACCCTCATCGTTTGAAAGCAACGTCATCTCCAAGAGGTTCAGTTCAGTCAACAGTCTTGGACCGTTCTCTACGACTATCACCGATCTAAACCTCAACGGGATGAGTAATCCGTATGAGAAGTGGAGCAATGGCGGAAGTGATGCTTACTCAGTAACCACGAACGACCATTTCTCAATTCCGAGCACGAATGGCCATTCGGCCGACTCCGTCCTCGATCTTACATCGAAACTAATGTCCGCTACGGCGATATTCCCACCCAAGTCACAAATCAAACGCCAGAAGATGATTTATCACTGCAAGTTTGGTGAGTTTGGAGTAATGGAAGGACAATTTACAGAGCCTTCGGGTGTTGCGGTTAATTCACAGAATATCATAGTTGCTGACACAAACAACCATAGAATTCAGATTTTTGATAAAGAAGGAAGATTCAAGTTTCAATTTGGTGAATGTGGTAAACGTGATGGACAACTTCTCTATCCGAACAGAGTCGCCGCCGTTCGACCTTCAGGTGATATAATCGTTACTGAACGATCGCCAACACATCAAATACAAATTTATAACCAGTATGGACAGTTTGTTCGTAAGTTTGGAGCTAATATTTTACAGCATCCACGTGGTGTAACTGTAGATTCAAAAGGACGTATTGTTGTGGTTGAGTGTAAAGTTATGAGAGTCATAATATTTGACCAAGCAGGAAATGTACTTCAAAAGTTTGGTTGCTCAAAGCATCTAGAGTTTCCTAATGGTGTAGTAGTCAACGACAAGCAAGAGATATTCATCAGTGATAATAGAGCACACTGTGTCAAAGTATTCAATTATGATGGTGCTTATTTGCGGCAAATTGGTGGTGAGGGAATTACAAACTACCCAATTGGTGTTGGCATCAATGCAGCTGGAGAGATTCTCATCGCTGACAATCACAACAACTTCAATTTGACCATCTTCACTCAAGACGGCCAACTGGTGTCAGCACTCGAAAGCAAAGTCAAACATGCTCAATGCTTTGATGTGGCGCTAATGGACGACGGTTCAGTTGTACTTGCCAGCAAGGATTATCGTCTTTACATTTACCGGTATGTCCAAGTGCCTCCCATAGTTATGTAGAGTCGAAGATGATGGGCTCAAACTCATCGAGATTGTTCAACTACTCTCCAAAACTCTCCAAAGATGAAGGAGAATAAGCAATCGAATAATGTTGAGTTGAGCTCTTCTACTACTACTACCACCTCGTCTTGTCCATCATCGACACAAGGATCAATCAAGACAGACGATAAATTTAAGCTTCACCGAATCAATCAACGCTTTAATCATCTACCTTTCTCTCCCATCGGTTTTCCACCACGGTGGTCCTCATCCACCGCTACAAAGTTCAACGATTCCAAGCGCAAGTGCAAACTTGATCGCAGCATTATCAACGAGTCAACCATCCACCCAGAAACTTGTCGACGACCACAATTTAATTTAGCCAGTAATCTTACACAAAATGCTGGTTACAACGATATGACGTGGGGCGCCAGGGATTCTTAGCAGCATCACGACATCTCGTCATTGTTCCATTATTTACGCAGTGTACGGATTAAGCCTACAGAATTTGCATCTGCACTTATACATGATATTGATGAAAGCGAGAATGAAAGAGAGTGAGAGTATCCTTGATAAACGCACAAGATGCTCGAAAAAAAAACTACTGAAATAAATTAATGATGTAAAATATTAAAAGAAAGAAAGGCGGACTCGGTCACGACCGAGATACACGTACACACGCGCGAAACTTACTTGTTAATGTTGTTATAACTGAAAATACTGTTGTTGTTGTTTAGTTGTAGAGCTCGCCGCCGCTAGTCACTTTCCCTAATTCCTTTCATCCCTCTCTGATTGCCATCATTCCACAGATCCAAGTTTACTGGATTTCTCGTTTGTTTTAACAAAGCAATATGCAAGTTAACGTAACCACTTTATGTGGTACAATACAAATATTCCAGTGAAACTTGATTCTAATTGTCCTTCTGTAATTCCTTTCTTACCTTTAACTATATATTATATATAGATATATAAATAACACTCATCACTCATCATTAAACATTTTCGTTGCGTGCTCCTCAAATCATCTTTCCCCCTCAAATCTCGAAAGCCATTGTCATCAACTATTTGCATGTTTCGTTATAATCTCGCTGTTCCAAGCGCTCGCTCTCGTGCACCGAGGACTAGCTTCAGCAGCTTAACCTCCTTAATTTCCTTTTTCATCGAATGAACGATGATGCCTATGATCGCGATTTCATAATACAAGAAAAAAAAAACGAAAATCAATTATTTTAAAGAAGCCTAAAATATGCCATCGTCATCGTTTGTTATTCCTCTTGTTATTTTTGAATTCCTGAAGACGGACGTCTATCGTTGATGATCATTAATGATCCAGCGACTGGCGATGGTCGTCGTTAATGAATATTGTTTGTATTATTATTATTATTATAATATTATTATTAATTATTATTATTATTAATATTATTATTCCATTTTTTCATACGCGTTATATATACCTCGGACGAGAGCCCGCGAAGCGCGAAATGGTGATAACTCGCAGCCGAGATGTATACATTTAGATAAAAAAAATTATGACACGGACAGTGTCCAATAAACGTTAGTAGTTTTCTAATAATCATTATTATTTTTTTTATACTTTTTTAATCTATCCTGAATATAAAGAATCTTCCTCGCATCTGTTATACTGTGTGGCAATTTTCTACTTTTAATGTTTTTACTTGTCAAGAATTATAAAAGTCTTGAACATTCAATGACTTCGATTGAGGAAGACTAATATGTGACGAATGGAAAAAGTGATATTTTTTTTTTTTTTTATAATTAATAATAATTATATGGTTGGACCAAAAAAGAATAACACAGTTGTTATCGTAATAATCAATAAATAAATAAACAATCCAAACTTTCTTCAATCGTCACAATTTTCTTCATGTGTGCTCTACAGAATGCAATGATTGCTGTTTGATTGTTCTCTCTCATTTTTTTTTATCTTTACTACTCAAACGTAGTTATATAATGTAGTCCGTAGCCGTAGTGAATTTCAAGTACAGTATAAGATTTGATCTTTTTACCATGCACTTAAATATTTTTTTCTGTTATCAAGAATATTATCACCTTTTAAACAATAATGATAATAATGGTCACTGCCGCTATTATTAGGAAAATTATTTTTTTGTTCCATAAAACAATACGCAAATAACTTGCCGCAACATTATTCAGGAACGAACAGTATATATAAATAAATTAATTACGCTGGTGTTTTTTCCATCATAGTATTAATATATTTTGTTGGATGGGTCACGTGAAAGAAGTGAATCACTTTTACGTCGACTTCATGCATGTTTACGATTTACAATTATTAATTATTACTATTATTATTGATTATTATTATTGATTATTATTATTGGTTATTATTATTGTGTATTATTATTAATATTATTATACTTTTATTATTTTATCAATATTTACTTTAACATGTCGATAATTGACCAAGGTGTCGCAGATTTGAACGAATTTACTGTTAAACATAAAATCTGAAATATCAAATAGAAAAACAATTCATGTCCCAATAAGACTGCGAGGCTAGCTGGCAAAAGTTTACGCTTGACTTCCATTTTTGGTTGAATAACGTAGGGATAAAAAAAAAATACTGAGTCGTTGGATCTCAGAGACAATATTGGTCGAAAGGACGACTCTTCAATCAGTGAGTTAGAAAAAATGTCCAATAGCTTTCTTTTTTAGCAACCTCGAAAGTACTGAGTCGACGTGTGACCTCGATCCAGGACTTTCGAGTGAATCGGCCGGGATAATTTAAAATCCCTTGCCTCATATTCCCTTCGGTGCAGTTGAAATGTGCGACTTGTTTCCCTAGGGACACTTTCTGACAATTCACAATCAATTACTAGAAATTTAAAAAATCGTGATTCAACCATAAATATAAATACAAGTACTTATTTACAATCACATCCAATATTATCAAAACTTGCAAATTTATACAGCGATGAATCGAATCGCGAGACACTTGTCATGTTAATATAAAATGATTTTAAATCTGAAAATACTCCAATAAATTGTATTAATTAACCACGCATTTATTAGTAATATTTTCTAGAAACGCGTGAATATGTTTTTTCGTTCCATGACAAAAAAGAAAATATGCTAAGTTGGAATAAAACAAATTTTTTATTTAAACATTCAATTGCTGTATTATTATAATTATAATTATTATTATCATTATCATTATTATTATTATTATTATTATTATTATTATTATTATTATTATTATTATTATTATTATTATTATTATAACTACAATTATTTCTATGATTATGGTAGCACCAAAGTAGCATATATTTGGCAATTGATTATTTATTTATTGCAAGTCTATAATATAAGTTTTTTTTTGATTTTTTTTTAACTGTCAGTGAGGATAGAAAAACGTAATGAAAGATATCAAGTATGATTCACGGTGGCATTATTTCAAATGTTTTTCATGTGACATTTCATCTTTTTCATATCTAAAAAAAATGGCATTGAATAAAAGGAACACAAAAAAAGAAGAAATGAGTAGAAAATCTTAGAGCCGACGTACCAAGCCAAAACGATTGATTATTCTATATACACTACTCTCTAGTTGTGTCACTTGTTAAGTATGACAAAAGCAATCGTTTGGCAGGATCGACATTTTATTTTTATTATAGTTAAAAATCATTCCTATACAATATTTTAAAAGTATATTCATCAATACTCCTGATTATAGATTAAATTATTATTTTTTTTTAATCATTTTATTAAAATAATAATACAAAACAAGATTTGGTTTTTTGTTATGTAAAATCTATTTAAATTAACCACCGTTGATCATAAATAATTAACACAGTTGTTTTGAATTAATTGATGAAAGTTTTTGTATCGAATTTAGAGAAAAAGATGTAATTAAAGCCATTATAGATCTATTAAAATTCTCTTTCATGCCAGCTAGCCATCGAGACTTCAATTCCAATATAAATGGGTTGGAATGGAGGAGAAAATTACATAAAGAGTAATGAACATTTCAAAAACACAATCAATATTATCATAATAATATAATTGTTTTATGTCAAAAAGAAAATATGTTAAATCTTGCGTAATGTTTTAAAAGAAAAGTGACAACTAAATGCTATAATTACAAAAAAAAGTAACACAATGAGAATCCTAATCTTCTTTTGTATGGTTTGTTATGTTATTATTTTTTAATGATACAACACAATTGTTCTTAATTTAAATGTAAATCATATTTTTGTTTGTTTTTTAGTTATTTTTTTTGTTGTAAAATGCTTTTTAATAATATTTTCAGTTCATATTAAATTCTGGCATTTTTCATTTTTTTTTCATTTATCATAAATACTTTCCTCAACTTGGCTACATTTTTCCACACCTTTTTACATACTATTTCACATTACGTATATCATAATATCTCCCTAATTGTCATGCTTTTATTTTTTAACTTCCCTCGATGAAAAAACAATTCTCCTACCATTCCAGTATTTTTATCCTTTCATGGTCTTCTGACACCAATCCCAAGTGTGATAAAATACGATTTATAATTTTTCATGCATTTGTCGTAAATTGCTTTATTATATTTCTTTGGATTTATTTATAAAGATAACTTGAATATTTTTATTCTTATGATTAGTTGCTACAGTGATTTTCCATACATTCCATTTATTATAATAATAATAATAATACTTATTATTATTATTATTATTATTATTATTATTATTATTATTATTATTATCATTCTCGTAGATTCTATATTATAGAACTAGTCTGCATTATTGTGTTCGGTATTTTTGACGTTTATCAAACTGGCTGTGTTCCTGTATACCCAATCCATTCCACAGTGTGATGTTGTGACAAGTAAGTAAAATAATTTTTCGATATTCCCGCTTTATTTTTTGTTTTATTTTGACAACTTTGAGTTCACTACCAAACTGAACATTTAAATATTGATCTACATCTCGCAGCGAATTCATCACTTTCCAATAGCTCGATTAAAAATTTTTCTTTCGTGAATCAATATGGTCAGTGGCAAAATATATAGGCAGGGGAGACAAATATTGACTCGGAGGTAACGACGAGTGAGCGAATATATTTTCAAAAGGAAAAAATAAAAGCAAAAATGTCGACATTTTTAACGTGAAAACAAGTAAAAAATGATCACATCGAACAATCACTTTGTGTCCTAGCAACACAAAATGACAAAATTTCATTGTCAACAATCTCCTTAGGACGTGATTCATAAAAGTGAAAAAAAAAAATATCAAACCGAATTACTAAGTGATTGTTCTCGTATCTTGATGGTTGTATAAGGGCTGTTGTTAATAATAGAGTGTCAAGAAATGAAATAAACTGAAAATGGAAGGAATTAAAAGAAAGAAAAATATGATAAAAAATTTAAATGGCGGCGATCGAGGATTTTGACTACACTTTCCCTATAATTAAACTTGCATTCTGGCGCTCGGCAAATGAATTACTGGTTATAACGACGTTTTTTAGGTATTAGCGTTTGGATAGATGACATATATTTTTGTACGTTCGCATGTGTATGTACCGAGGACGCCGCGAATCGCAAGAATATGAAAAAAAAACGAAATATTGACGGATTGAGATTGGCTAAAGCGTAATATTTGAGTAAGGAA